AAGGGCCACAAAACGAATGGTTGTATCGTCAAGGCTATGGATTTTCCAGTTGCAATGTATGGCTGTGGAGGTTGGACTATAATAAAGTTGTGAATGCCCCATACACTGGAAGTCTTTGAGAAGATGTTGGATAGCCGTTTGTCTGGAACGGTATAGGGTTTCCTGCCTAGGCAGGGGGTTGGACTAGAAGACCTCCAAGGTCCCTTCCAACTCTGCTATTGTACTGTATTGTATTGTATTGTATTTGTTCAAATGCAACATAAGCAGCATGTCTTTATTTTCCATTTTTCATATTCTTAAGGAAAAGTGCTTGATAGATGGAAAACATTTAAATTTTGAACTTGCTATTAGTGCCTATATACTTAAAGTGGCATCTATAGAGAACCTGAATAATACAATTCTCTGCTTTCACATAAACTCATAAAGAAGTAATGTACTGACAGTTTTCATTCACTTTTTAAAAATTTTAAAATTTGAAAGACATTGCCAAGCATCCTTAGAATGAGGTACAAAAACAGAATCTTGTTTTTCAGAGGACCTTTTTCAGAAAATTGGAAAATAGCATTTGGCAAAGTGACACCCAAAATATATTACATGCATAAACATCAAATAATTATCATCATGCACGACTTCCAAGTGACATTGAAGTATGTGCACAAGAAAATAAGGATAGCATGCATATTTACTAATTAATAAATAGATTTTTCATTATGAATTGCCAGTGTAGCTTGCAAAACTGTATGTAGTTTTATAACAGTTTTATAGTTAAACAGGCAGTGAAACATTAAATTAGTTGGCAGTAACGATACTTGATTATAGTATGCCACATTTAAGTTCAGAGTTTCCAAATAGAAATGTAAGGTTTCCTTCAAAAAGCTCTATTTAAAAAATGCAGTAGAGGGCAGTGTAGGTATGTTGGATAGGTAATTAACATTTCACAAGGAATAGCTTTGATTTTGTTCAGCCAAAATTTTGAAGGATCAGCTTTTGTATTCAAGCTGTTCATGAATTTTAGCTCCACTCAGATGCAGTTTCATTGTTATTACTAATTAACAAATAATCATAATTAATAAAGCACTGAGCTAAAATTACAACTGGGATCTGGCAGCGGCGGAGTCTCTTAACCGGATTGCGCCTCTACGGCCGCTCCGAGGCAGTGGATCCCNAAACTCCATCTTCTCACTGCTAAGCCCCGCCTTCTTTCCTCCACATGCATATGCTTTCTGATATGAACACTCGGTGTCGAAAAGGTTCACCATCACTGATCTAATTCATTCCTATATTTTGGTCTGGTTCACCCTAAATTCTATTCTACGTTTTTATTTACTATGATATAAGCCTACTCAGTGTAGATTGAAATAATGTTTTAATCAGGTTGTTTAAGAAGCTGATTAAAATCCTACATTACATATAATATACTCTAAAATACTCAATGTATTGTAGGTTTTCTATTGACATATTGTATTTATTAGTTTAAATACTCCATACTTCAATAGTTTAAATACTAGAGCAGGTTCTAGTCAGGCATATCTTCAGGCAAACAGCATGTTAAATTGCAATTTATAAAAATGCAAGCAAATTCACATATCAGAAGAGGAAAGACATTCAATCTTACAAGGAAGTAAGAAGAATGAATCATAGTTTAGAGATGTTCTTTAAAATCTGCATGTTAATGCTAAACAATTCCGTATGAATAATGCAAAGTTTTGTTTGCATTGGAACCCAAGCCAAGACAGATTTCATGTATCAGACTGAAAACTCTCCTTTCCCCTTTGTTGATCTGCCTATTTTTGGTCTTGCTTTTACTGTACTTCTTAGCTTATTACAGGAACTCTATTTCTAGATTCATAGCAAGATCACTTGTAGATTCTGAATTTCATGCTTCATTAATATTGATTAACTCTTGCAACTTTTTTTATTGCTTATGGAACAAATTCCTTATCCAATAGTAAAATGCTATAAAATGCTAGAAATTGTTGTAGCAAACTTTTAGTGATAATTTCTGAAGCAGATGTTTTGCAAGCCGGCTGTTTTTATTAAAATAACAGTAGGAAATAGTTTGTTCTTGTTTGCTTGGCCCTGGAGAAAATTAAAATTCATTTTTGTAATTTTGATCATAACTGTAAATGTAGATTTTAATGTGCAAAGTATATGGTTTCTATGAAGAATAGATACTTTTAAACCTCAGCAAGCTATTTAAAAATATAAAACAAATATGTGTATATTTCAGGGATGGATGCAAGTCACACAGCACTTCTGTCCTGCTGTATTTATTAAATTCCTTTGAAAGATGGTGGTGCAACAACAGTATACCTACTATGCTCACTGATTTATTAAGGAAATCAAACTGTCCATGGACTTCTCCTCTCTAGACAATAAATTTTGTACCCAATACTTAAATGTGTGAACATTATGTGATGGTGTGGTGGGATAATGGATAGTCACGTAATAAAGGGAAAGAATGCAGTAGCTGAAATTTATCTATCTTGTTGCCTTCTAGAAATGTTGGAAATAAAATTCATATTATCTCTGGTTAGAAGTTTCATGCTGGTGGGAGATGATACAATCTGTAATTCAACACATCTAACAGTCGTAATGGTAGAGAAGACTTTTATTTTTTTCCCTCTAGAGTAATTTTAGGCTGGATTAAGTCTAAAATGATTCAGTCCATCTTATCTGATATTTGGGTCTGAGTATTCTGGTCTTGTTTCATTTTAGATTTTTGTGAGCTGCTGCCTTATATTTTGCTTGTTCTTTGCTCTGTTTACTTACTCATTCACATCCTTTGGCATATATTGTGGGGTTCCTGTATTCTTGCCTTTAAATTCTTTCAATCTTACTAATATATGGAAATTATCTTCAGAAGCCTCTCATTTCTTTTAACTCACTATGTCAATTGCTACAGTATTTGACAGATGAAATGTTGATTTCAGCTATAGAAAAGTTGCTCACTGTTAAAGTTTTCTTCCCAGGTGCCTGCCTTTATTTTCACTTTTTTCTTGGGAAAACAGAAAATGTACTTGAATAGATTAGACGCATCATTGCAGATATAAAAGATCTTACTAAAAGAGATCTCCCACTAATCAAGGATCTGATTTTTTTTTCCTATAAGGATTTAAGCCTTTTTCACCCCTCTTTTTGTAATAAATTCCTTTCCATCTGCTTCTTCTTGAGACCTGGTTGTACTCAGCTGGTGTTTACAAATTGGTCATGTTTGATTGTAAGCTTCTTGTCCACTTGCCAGGTTTTCAGTTCTGTTTCAATATAGCAAAAATCAGAGGAATTAGAAATAATATGGCTGATATACAGTTTCAGCTTTTGAATATAGCCATGGGAAAGGAATGCCAAAAATAAGACATGGTTTCTACTTGTTTTATAACAGATTCCCTAACTTAGTTGCCATTTTCTTGTATGTATTTCATCTTCCAGAATTCTCAACAATAATATTAGTGGACTGAACAGCAAACATTGCAAGGATATCAAGGTTTGGAAAGGGTGTTTTGCGAACTCTTGAATCACACTAACCTCAGAGAACATTAAAATGCAATGGTTTGGTAGATGGATAAATCTTTTAAGTATGATAAGCGCCAAACATATAAGATCTTACAGGACATCACCAAGTGTTCTGATGCAATATAGTCTTTTACCAGTGCAGATACTGGAATATTAATGCAGTAGGTTTCCAACAGCTTATATTTCTCAGAAGGAATAGTGCAATTTGTACCAATTAAAGCTTCTCAGAAACATTGAGGTCGTTATTTGTTTAATGTAATAAATAAAATATATTATAAACCTCAGTTCTGAGGTAGTTGTATATCACATTTACTGTACTTTGCAAACCATATGAACTGTTTCTCAGCTGTAAAATGTATTATATTATAATTTTATCACAATGCCCATCAAAATGGAGAGTTATTGATATAGAAGTGAGATAAACAAACCTTCTCAATTCCATAAAAGATTTTCAATTAAAAACCTATACTTAAGAAGAGCATAGCAGGATCATAGCAGGAATTTTAGATGGAGCAGGATGTGAAGGACAATTAGTAGGGAAGATTGCAAAAGGGAAGAATATGTGTTAGTATATTTCAACACAGGGATTAATTTTCAAATTCTTTCAGTGCTTCTTTCTCCTATCATGTCATGTAATCAAATAGAATACCGGTTTGTAACATTTCTTTGTATTATACATTTTTAGTGCTTGTAGTTCCTAATTATGTGCCTTTTTAACTGTAAGTAAGAAGTAGGTCTATAAATCTGGGTATCAACAACAAAGATCCCTTTTATTTTCCTTTCTCAACCTGGATCTTTGAAAGTAAAAAAAGCAGAGAGCAATAGTGTCAGTAAATAGAGGAATAAAGATAATTAAAGGAATCATTAGACAGTCTATTAAATTGAAAACTCTGGATTCAGGCTAAAGGAAAGCAAAGATCATACGGTTCTTTATATCTTTATATTCTCAACAACAGAGAAGAGTTTTAAACTTCACATTCTACTTATTACTTTCTCAGAAGCATGTTTATTTGTTTGGACTATTCTGAACCAACATGCCCTTTTCTCTTATATTCATAATTATCTGATACATGAATATTCTACACCCAGTATAATTCCAAATCATATCTCTACTACTCTCCATATGTATTGGAATACAACTCTTGAAATTTCCACCTAATATAGCCCACGCTTCTGGAATGCATCTTATTGGGGAAGCATGATCTAAGTTTGCTTGTTTTCTTATGTGTTCCTTTTTTATTAATAGAGTGGTAAGCAACCTGAAAATATGTATTACAAATTAAAAAAGAATCCAAATATTAATAAAGTTGTTTCTTTCCTCCTCACTTTTTTTCTTTAATTTACAGATGGGCTTCTTTCGCAGAAAATACAAAGAAATCATTGAGGCTGAGAAGAATAGAAAAGAGAATGAAGATAGTTGGGACTGGGTCCAGAAAAGCCAATAAATTATACTGGGGGTAAGGAAACATTAAAATCCTGGCCATGTGGTACACAGTTGTTACCTATTGGTCCTGCTCTTGTATCTTCCATATGTGGAAGAAGGAATCTTCTCCAGATTTTCCGGAGGCCCCATTGATGCGGTTGTTCTTCATCACCTTACAGTAGGGTACATCACACTGTCAGGTGACTCAACCAATTTATACATCTTGGAAGAAATGAACTTGGATAATTAAGCTGCAGTGCAGATCAATATTTATGAATCCAACATATATGTGGTATACCCTCAGGGGAAGACTTGTTTCCAAAAAAATACTTTTCATAAGCTTTTATACGGAGTGTGAGTGTGTATGTGTATGTATCAATGTTGTATGTTTTCTGTTGAGATAGATTCACAATAGCTGCTGCAGTCCTATATTCACATTTTCTTGGAAACCAAGTTCCAATAAATTCAAAAGAGCTTACTTCTAAGTAGGTATATTAGACAATGCACTGTTAGATTGTAATCTTTTGCACACTTACCAATAGCATTTAGTTGGGTGTAATGGGGCTTCCTTATAGGTAAGTTCACAAAGGACCCTGTAAAGCACTGATATCCAGCTGAAATTTTGATCATGCATATGTTTTTGTATCTATTATACTGTATTTTTGAATGTCAATGCGAAAGAGAAGCAGATGAAAAGAATGGAAAGATTTCACGTAATAGAACCAGTCCTGATTTTAGTTTATATAAAAGCCAAATACTTTCATTTTAAAAAATAGGAAATTAAAAGTTTNAGCCTCCAGGCACTGACACACACGTCAACTGCTTCACTGAGTTGGCACGGGGCGGACAGATACAACTATGTATCGTCCGCATATTGGTGGTATTTTATCCCGTGCCGCCGAATGATCTCACCCAGTGGCTTCATGTAGATGTTAAAGAGGAGAGGGGACAGGACCGAACCCTGTGGCACCCCATACTTAAGGGGCCTAGGGGTCGATCTCTGCCCTCCAACCAACACCAACTGCGACCTGTCCGAGAGGTAGGAGGAGAACCACCGAAGGACGGTGCCTCCCACTCCCACCTCCCGTAACCGCCACAGAAGGATACCATGGTTGATGGTATCGAAGGCCGCTGAGAGGTCAAGGAGCACTAGGACAGAGGCATAACCCCTGTCCCTGGCTCTCCAGAGATCATCGATCAGCGTGACCAAAGCAGTTTCCGTGCTGAATCCAGACTGGAAGGGGTCTAGATAATCGGTTTCATCCAAGGACCGCCGGAGTTGAGAGGCCACCACTTTCTACAGGGCCGTCTCCTTTCCGCGCTGGCCAGGTTTTGTAGGCTTTCCCCCCAATGGGCAGTCTGGTTTCTTAGCCAGTGCCTGAGAACGCCATTCTGCAGCTCAGTGCCCCTCTTTTCCACACTTGAAACAGGCTAAGGATTTTGGAGAATGTATCATTTGCTGTTTAAAAGGTTCTTGTTTCCATTGGGGTGGGAATTTCTTCCACATTCGTCCTGCTCGGTACAGATTTCTGGCCACATCAATTTCTGCCTCTTCAACAATGAGATACCACTCATATAGGTGGTTTGGGGCACCTCAGGCCACACAGGCATTGTAGAGGTCATCACTCAGCCCATCCTTGAATCAGCTTACCAGGATATCATCTGGCCAGTTCACATGACATGCCAGGCCTCGGAATTCTTCTTTATACTCTGCCACTGGCCGGCGTCCCTGCTTCACAACTTTAATGCAGTCACGTGCTTTGCGGTCTGCGAGGGGGTCCTCGAACTGTTGTCACAGGGCCATCATGAAACAGTCAAAGTCCCGCAGTTAATAATGCATTGGCATTATTAAAGTCACTATCCATCTGGCAGCGGTTCCTTCCAGGACTAGGGTGGCCACTCACACTCGGGCTCCTTGGGTTTGAAAATCACACCCATATTCTTTCATGTAGGTGAGCTCGTGTGCCACAAAGAATCCCAATTTTTTCGGGTTCCCATCAAATTTTACCCCCAGGGAAGGAGTTTTCCTTTCTAACTGCAGATTTTGGGGTTGGTTAGGAGTGGGCCCCAACCTATGTGCCAACTGGGGGGAGGGTTTTCTGGGTTCCTAGCTGTTGCTGCTGTGCCATCAGCTTGATCAGCAGGGACCAGAGGGGGGTTAGTTCCCCTGGCATCATCCTTGTTTGCCACCCTTCCACCGCTTCCCGGTTGCCGGTCTGGCTCCCCCCGGATGTTGAGATTTTCCAAAATTTCCATCACCAACTGGGTTACATGCCTCTTCAGAGAATCCTCTCTTAGCAAGGCTTCATTTAGCTCCTCCTGGTCAGAGGGGGCTTCCAACTCCAATTTCCATGCTGGTTTTTGGCTACCTCAGGTAAGAGTGACTCCCCTGATTTTCCCTTCTCAGCCGTCTTTCATCCCGATTCTGATTGACCAACGGGGCTTTTTAGGGTCCTCCAGTCTCACCTCGTTCTCTCCGCCAGGATACAAGGAGCAGGTCTCTGGTTGTGGATGGGTTTCCATCTCCCTCCAGCAACCTTGTTCACTGTTATGCTGAGACATGTTCTGCAGAGTCCCCTCCATAGAGTAAAATGTTGTCCCTCCTGGTTGACCACTTTTGTGATCTTGATTCTATCCCTCTGTTTATGAACTGTGTTTGCTTTTTTGGCAGCTGCTGAACACTCCCTTTCACAGTTACTACTACTGAGCAAGGTACCACCTATGCTATACCTGTGCACTTCGTTTTTGTTGCCTAAATGTAGAACCTTACTCTTTTCACTATTGAATTTCATTTTATTAGATAGTGCCCAATGTTCAAGTTTGTCAAGATNGGCTGCCTGTTGCCGCCGGTTGGAAGCGCTTCCCTTGGGTTGATCAGGGACTTTCTGATGTCCCTGTGACCACCAAGGTCTTGTCTTCCCAGTCACCATCTCTTTGGGACAGTTTAGGTCCTGCCAGACTGTCCAGGGGCAAAAGTGTAATTGGCGGATTCGGAAAGACAAATCCGCACAATGTAACATTGCGACATTGGCTCCTCTTCTAATACTCAGTTTTCTTAATGCTGCAGGGAACAGTTCATATTTTTACCAGCTTCACTGTAGTAGATAATTTTTTGACAAATTTTGTTCCGTAAAATGGAGTTGGATTTATCTTAATTCAGAGATGAAGTTCAATTTGTTTCAAGAAAAAATAAAACAAGGGATGGAATTCAAGAAGGCTGTAGAAGACCTTAGATTTGAAAAGGTTATGCCCAATATCTAAAAGGAGTAAAAAATGATACAGTGAATAATATAGTTGGAATTTGAATGGACTGGGATTACTGAAAAAAACACCTAACTATTGATTACAAAGGTCAAAAGAAAAAATGAACTTGGGCGATCCTAAATCAAAAGTTTATGAAGCTTTTAGGCAAACCATTAAAACCTGTGGTGGGATTCAATTGGTGTAACAACCAGTTTGTTAAGCATGTGCTTTGCTCCCCATGCACTCAGTGTGTTTGAACACAGCTCCAAGACGTACCTTCTACTGCAGCACTGGTGAGGAAAACAGCTGATGTGCGGCAATGTGCTCTGCTGCGCCTATCAGCTGGGCTTTAAAGAAAGGAAATATAGGTCAGTAAAGTGCAGGGGCAGGCAGATGGGTCCATCTGATCGTTGGAGCTAACCAGTTCGCTCTCAGCTGATCGTCGGCACTATAGGTTTGCCCAAACTGGCTGAATCCCACCCCTGATTAAAAACACGCTACCCTGCCCTTCCTCCTGTCCTCCTTTATCATAGGTTATAGTAGCCAGTAAACCAGCATTTAGCTGAAGTCGTGACTTCTGACCAGAAACTAGACATAAAGGGAGATAGGAAGAAAGATGCAGACAGATAAAGAAGGATCTTCACAAACTTGAACATTGGGCACTATCTAATAAAATGAAATTCAATGGNACAACTATAAATGTAAGCATTTCCTCATGGCTTCCGATGCCTATCTATAGAGGCTCAGTGACAAATGAAGTTGGCTCCCCCTCTGCTATTGACCCATCTAGTTGGCAAAAAGCTATGGGGCTTTTCATCTTCCTTACAGTAATCCTCAACTTCCTTACCCGTGACCCGAGAAAAGGGCAAATGACAAAACCGCGCCTGACTAAACTGCGTCCCTAAAACTGTGACGTCATCAATGCGCCGACAACAGCGCAGAGACAAAAGGGCAGTTTCAGTCGACAGAGGGGCGATTTAAGTTAAGGTAAGGGTTAGGGTTAGGGTTAGGGTTAGGGTTAGGGTTAGTTTTAGTTTTAGTTTTACAGCGCGCTCCTGTTGCCGTGCTGTTGTCAGCGCGATTCAGTGCTCATTCGTCAGAGCACTTTAGAACACGCGGTTTTGTCACCGCGGTTTAGTCAGGCGCGATTTTGTCGTTCGTCCTTTTGTCGGTGAACCTCCTTACCAGGGTTGGGCTGATCAAACAGCAGGTGCACTCCAAGTCCACTAAAGCTGAGATTTTCATCTCCCTCTCCCAGTTGGGGATAAACAGTCTTAGGGGAACAGTAAACGGTTTAATTGGTTTGCTTACCAGTGGTTCATCCTCTAGGTCACTTCCGGATGAGTATGGTTCCTCCAGCTGCGAAGCTGGGGTTTCCTCCTCAAGGAAGGGAGAGGATGGAGATTCTACAGTCTTACTCTACAGTTTAGTTTAGTTTAGTTTTATTGAACTTGTATGCCACCCTATTCCCCGAGGGGACTCAGGGTGGCTAACAAACTAAATAGGGGAAAGGGGAAATACAAAAAACAAAAAGACAGACAAATACAAACAGATTAAAAACTCATCAAAAGCCGCAACAATTTGAGTGGGGCTGGGAACTCATCAGCCCCAGTCCTGCTGGAACAGCCAAGTTTTAACGGCTTTGCGGAAAGCCTGAAGGGTGGCGAGGGTCTGGATCTCCACGGGGAGATCGTTCCAGAGGGCTGGAGCAGCCACAGAGAAGGTCCTCCCCCAGGGGGGGTCGACAAATGACACTGGCTAGTTGATGGAATCCAGAGG